AGACTTATTGCGTCTCTTAGATACCTTTGTCACACAAGGCCTGACTTAGCATACAGTGTTGGTATGATAAGTAGATTCACGTAGAAGCCAAAGGTATCACACCTAGCAGCGGCGAAGAGGATACTGAGGTATCTGAAAGGAACTCTCGACTATGGTATTTTGTTTCCAGCAGCTGATGAAGGAAAAGAATGCAAGTTAGTGGGATACACAGACTCTAGTTGGTGTAGTGACGCTGAGGATCGAAAATCCACAGCTGGGTATGTGTTTATGTTAGGTGGTGCACCAGTTGCTTGGAATTCGAGAAAGGAACCAGTAGTAGCATTGTCATCATGTGAAGCAGAATATATAGCTGCTTCTCTTTGTGCATGTCAAGCAACTTGGATGGTGAACTTGGTCAAAGAAATCACAAGGAAGAATCATGGAGCAATTACCATGAAGATAGACAGCATGTCAGCTATCAACTTGGCGAAGAATCCAATAGCTCATGGTCGAAGCAAGCACATCGAAATGAGGTTACATTATCTTCGAGAGCAGGTAGCAGAAAGGAAGATGAAGTTGGAACACTGCAGAACTGAGAATCAGATTGCAGATATCATGACAAAGGGAGTGTCGGTCGAAGCCTTCAGAAGACTAAGAGCCATGATGAATGTAGACAGTTTAGACACAATGAATTAGGTGGTGTGTTAAATGTAATTCATTGTTTTGATTTGATTTGATATGATTAGATTTGATTTTAATATTTTTGGGCCTTTTATGTTTTGGACTAGTGTAAACCTAAAACTATAAATAGGGTGCCTTGCTTTGTATTCAATCACAACATAACAGATTTCACAGTTGCAGTTAGCAAGTGAAAGTTCAATAAGAAATCCCACAGTTGTGGGTAACACATTCTCTCCAAATACTTCTTCTCTCATTCTTCTCTTTCTTGTTTGTTATTCTTCTTCTCTTTTGTTGTTCTTAATAATTACTTGTTATTACCATCATTATCATATAGTGGGTTTGTTCATCAATCTTGAGATCAAGATTGAAGGGAATTCTTCATAGGGTGTGAGGTGAATTTCCAACAGATTGGTGTTTGTCTGGTTTTGACCTAATCTTAATCTAGCAAGGATTTGCTTCATGATCAAGGCTAGGTTTTCCTAATTCAAATGGTTTATGTGTGAAGCTTCAATTAAAATTGTGTCAATTCAAAGTCATCTGTGTATGAGTCAGGTTATCAGACTGTGATAGGTCAAGTGCTTCGTCAAGGACTGGTTCATTTTAATTAGGGTTTTGGTGAAATTATAGTACAGTTCGCATAACAAGTCATTATCTTCTGATTTCAAGACATTTATTGCTCATTGGGTTCATAGTGAAGTCTTCGGTTTACCAACGCAAGTGACAAAGTCTAAGGATTAATTCAGCGGTGGATTCATTTCGATTCAGGGTCTGGATTCGTTTCAAATTCAAAATGGATTCGTTTGAGTTATTTCATTTTCAAACGGAGATTTCAAGATTTATTTTTTATTGTTCAAGTAAGGCAGACCATTTAATCAAAGTTGAATTCACTTTTAGTCATGTCTCGAAGATTAATTCAAGGTTATGATGCGAAACTTGGTTCAAGCAAAAACAGGAAGGTACAAAAGTCAAGGATTTCGCATGTGCAAAATCATTGTCCATTGACACAAATTACATATTATATTCAACCGAGTCCATTGTCATAATAAGTAAAAAAAACATGTCATTAAAAAGCCCATCGTTTGTGTTTTAAGGTCCACATTCATAAAAAAAAAAAAAAAAAGGAGTCTACAGTTGATTCATTACAAAGGGACTCCATTTACACACAAAAAAATTTTTTTGCCAAAGAAAAACCATTATTATAAATCCATCATTTTATTTATTTATTTATCATATGTTATACAAAAGAGAAAAAAACCAAGTGTACATTTTTACAGGCCCATAAGGTTACACAAATGTCCACAATCCACCAACATAAGAAAAATCTTGACACAATGTAGACCCATTGTCTAATTTGTCAAAGAATTAAAATAAAGCCAATACTATAAGCTGTTATACAAAGTGACTTCCAAATATCATGTCAAGCATCAACAAGCTGCAAGCCAAAAGCCAGCTTTTCACGCACAAAATAAATATCACAATATCCAAAAAGGAGCATGATTCACGCATACCGCATCGTGCTGAAGCATCCTCCAAGCCATCATGTAGCCTTCACTCGCCAGCCAAGAATTTTTGTAAGCCTTGACCCCACTGACTCACATCACACACAACAAAAATGAGGCACCACACAACTGCAGTTTTCAGTTTTCCATTTTGATATTTGTTGTTAAATTACTATTGATTTTATCTAGTAAACTCTTGTTTTTTTTTCATTTTGATTTCGTTTTAGTTTTATTCAACATTTTTGGGTGATGAAGAAACCAAAAAGAATCATTATTAGTCGATCTATTGATAAATAGTGATTAATTCGAGACCACTTCTTTTTTCTCTTTTCATTTCCTTCTCCATCTCTCATCTCGGTTTTATTTTCATATTTCGATCGATGAAGTCTTTAGATTTGAAAACGTTAATTTATCGAAGTCGATAACCTTCATTATGTCAAATATGTGAAAAATGACCATTGGAGTCATTTTCTATATTTTGCGATCGTGATATGCTACCTTCGATTAATCGACACGAGTTTATGATTAAGATGAAATCCCCCCTTTCTTTTAGTCTGTGAGACACGATTAAATTGGAGAATGATCCTCAATATCATTTCTCTATCTAGTTTTTAGTACGGATATCAAGTTGTGCGACCTCCTATAGTTCAACTTTCATCATATGTCGAACTACGACGATTTAACGCTACATATTTTTGTCCCGATTCAATTCAAACAAATTAACGACTAACTTTACTTTCCGTCAATATACAATTGTTTTATTTTCAGTCATTATATCTCGATTATATTATCTTATTCATATACTTGTTAATATTATCTTGATTATACTATTGTGAATTTTATCTTGATTATATTGTTATATATCTTGTCATATTATTCACATTGTTCATTTTCATATTCATACTTATATTGTTCATCTCTTATTCACACATATCCTAAAACGTCTAACAATTATCGAAACAATAAAAGTCTAAATTGGTGGATTGTTGGATCATTGGACTTTGTCAGAAACTCTAGCTTGGAGTTTGTCCGACTTTTGCTCAAGACTTAGTTTATGACACCTCGCACACACACGACTTTCTCTTGGGCTACCTGACAATGAACCCTTTTATTTCGTGCAATCCCGTTTAACTTATATGTACCCCTCTCCCATTCTGATGTATGCATTCGTATTTTTCTTTGATCGTGGTTTATCTTCTAGGAGCACCCATAGGGACTAGCGTAGACAAAACCGTTTTCAAACTAATTCTCGATTCGTCATCGAGCCATTTTCAAACACCCCCCCTTAAGTCGAGTGCTCGTCTGCATTCGCCATCAACCTATCGCACACACTTTCACATTTCATCGTGATTTCGATATTGGGGGCACCCTCAAGGACTAGTATCGTTTCTCACAACCTAACCTTTAATTCGCCATCGAGCCATTTTCATTTTCAACCAAACCCTCGACTCGTCGTCGAGCCATTTTAAAACCCATTTCCATTCCACCACGGTTTTGCACGCAAATATAAGTCAAACCCTTAATCCAATGTCAAGCGGATTTTCTCAACAAACTATCAAATCAATTAACAACTATGTAACTCTTTTCAAGGTGAAAAGAGGGGGATTGAGCCTTTGATCTCCCTTCGATTGTTTGGATGCGAGTTATCTTACTCGTGTGTGAGCAATTGACGCCTCTATAACATTTCCAAACTCGACAACATTCAACCATCGTCCAACCTCTCGTTATTCAAACACCATTCAAACACAACTTCTTTTCAAGATGAAAAAGAGAGAGAGTCAAGTCTTTGACTCTTTCTCCCGATTACTTAGATCCGAGGAGCCTTTCTTAAACTTCGAGTAATCGTCATCCGAGCTAAACTTTAAACTCAACCCTTCTCTTTTTCGTGGTCGTCTCCACAAACTACGGACGCTCTGATTCTTCATTCTCTTCTGAATGTAAGATACGTAGGCACGAGATTACGATGATCTTGGCGAGCACAATTCCCTCCATCTTTCGTTTTTCCTCTATCCTTTCCTGTAGTCGAACTACGAGAGCTCTAATTCCTCATTCTCGTCCGAATGAGCATACGTAGGCACAAGGACTCAAATCCTTGCCGAGCACCCTATCCTTTAATCATCCATTTCTACCTTAGCGTCTTTATCCCTTTATTGCACCGTTTCATATTTATTATTGAGAAGAAAACAACTAAGCTTAGTAACGTTCATCACAATTCGAATTAAGAGGTTCCCGTTGAGTACAACGGACGTGAGGGGTGTTAATACCTTCCACTTGCGTAACCGACTCCCGAACCCGGAGTATAGGTTGCGGCGACCTTTGTTCCTGTCCTTTCGTTTTAAAAAGTTTTCTCGATATTTTTCTTTTCTTTTTTTGGAGGATAAATAAAGTTCGGTGGCGACTCTGTCGAACCGCATTTCCGTACCTTTAGTGCGAGGGTCGCGTCTCTCGATTAATGAATTTTTCGAGGTGCAACAGTAAGCACCCTCCATCGAACTTTAGGTTTATCGAGATTACCATTCTTGTTGTTCTAAAGTCCAAACTCTCTTAGACCAAGACAACAATCAAAGGGTGATTAAGATTGGAAGTTTCAATTCCTTGAAGTTCATAGCTTTCCGCGAATGGCACATGCAATTTGAATTTGAAATGGTAAAGCATTGCAAGTTTTGAAATTCTACTGAGATATCCACAAAACAGAAAAGTATATAAAATTTCTTATTGACAGTATCTTCTGTATGGTTACATTCTCTGATATTTCTATATTATGACTATCTTTACCATCGAAACGATAATTTCAAAAAATTCTATAAGGTGTGTATTTTACTATATATATTCCCTTAAATATCACTGAAGCTTAAAGAAAGATATGAGAGGTTCGTATACATCTTGTTTAGCATTTTGTCCCATAACAAAATCTGCATGTGCATAATCATTTCTGTACTGAACTACTAGTTTATCTGAATCATGATCTTTCAGACTTTCTAACAGAAGTTGCACATCTTTAACATCAGAAAGTGCATCAGCGCCTCCATAACTAACAAAGAGAGGAAGATCGTTCGGAAGTCTTGTCATGTCGTATATCGGTGGAGTGGACTGTCCGTAGTGTCTAATATTCTCGTCTTGATTCTCATAATCAAACATTGATATGGTTCCTTCTCTGATCACTGTCATAATATTCATAGGATTCAAATTCAATTCCTTTCTTATAGAACAAGCAATTCTTCTATAGAATATGACCACTTACTCTGAGATAGATGAATCATGTTCTTTGTTGCTGTTGGCTGAGGCTCGTGATCCAAAAACGTATTCATCATCAAAGGGTTTACGCAGCAATTCGGACCTGAAAGCAAGATGATAATATCAATATAGGCGATAACTGTCAAAAAGGACCTTTTTCTAAATTGGGAAATGCATAAAACCTGTGAAAGATGTAAACAAGTTGGTGCAATCGATAGAAGTTCCTGCACACATGTCCTTAAGAAACTTTACAACAGATCCCCTATTCGATTCAAACAATACAGAAAAGATGGAGTCAAACCGATATTTCTGAACTCATGGTTAATCAATATGATGAGTCTTATTATACTTGTTAGTGTGTGTCACAGAAAAGTACTTACCCTTTCAGACTAAACTCGAAAATTCCTAATTTGTACAGTGACTGTTGAGAAGAAACACAGATTTTCATAGTCAATATTTTAAATTTTAAGCAACTATATCTATTTTATTTCTGTTGGTGAAAGAGAAACAATGCATATATGAACAACGGTTACCTCTGCGATGAAATTATCAGCGGCCTTTTTAGCTAGTGGTGAGGTCATCTGACCAACATAAGCAATTGGACAAAGCAAGGCAGCTGATCTTAACTTGTCCAGTTGTTGATCTTTTGAAAAAGCAGCCAATGCAACCAAAGTTCCCTATGAAAAATAATCCAAAAATCTTCATTCTTTAATATCACATTCAATTATACATATGGAGAGGTGAAAACATGAAAAAATTTCACCAATGGATCACCTGCGAGTGACCAACATAGTGTAGTTTTTGTCGAGTTTGATCATGCACATACTCGAATGTTGCTGGAAGATCATATGCAACTAATTCATCCCATGACCAATTCCAATAATCCTAACAACGGAAACTTCATATAAGCAATGGACTCAAATCGGCCTACTTAAAAGTACTATCATGTTCGTAGATTTTCAGTTTCAAGGACTAACCGAGCTGTTACTAGAAAAGGATGTATGTTGATGACTATATTTGGTTCCGCGCGAGTTAGCTATCCAAACGTCAAAACCATTATCCGCCAAAAGGAATGCAAGAGATTGGCTTGGTGCTAGCAATAACCATGTCACACCATCCTAAAAGAAACATACAACATTACATTAATTTCCCACATCAACAAGAACAACAAAAATCATCAGAAAAAGACAGTTTGTTAGTAACCATGAATAGTCCATGCTGTAGCACAACTGGTATGTTATTTCCAGGTTTCCCCCTTGGTAGAATTCTCTGCATGTTGAGAACATAACCATCTTTTGTTGTTACCTAAAAACAATCACATACACATAAAAAGCTAGTCAGAAACTACTAAATTTCTCTAAAAGCTGCTGATTTGTGGTCAAAAACAGAAACAGATGAAAGCAATGTTGCACAGTATATACATACCAAGTGTTCTTCACAAGCATAGCCTTGTGTCTTGACTAGTGATGAGCAAACACCATCACTGAGTTCTGGTGCCAATGCAGTAATAGTGCTGCTGAGAGGTAATATTTTTGTTCTTGATGCAAGAGCTAAACCACAGAAGAGAATCACAAGTGTTATTGAGAGGGAAATCTTTGCCATTTTTCTATTTTCTGATGAATTAATCTTCCTAATTCGGACATTATTTATATGAACAGAAAATAGAATAAAAACAAAGAAAGGGAAAGATAAAAATAAAGTTAAAAAAGCTATTCACATGATGGCTTCTGAACCACCCTTTTGTCAATAGATTGGACATAGTGCCTTAAAAAATGCAATTGTGGGGTCAATCATTGGATACTATTAAATAACTAAGAGTTTTGGAATTTGGTGACATGATTCCTTAGCTTAACATGAAATGTGTGGATGGTTATGAATTTGAGAGGTGACCTATGACCATGTCAATGTGATGCATATAAAAATCCAAGACATGTGCTTAGAAGAGAATGTTGTTTAGTAGTTCTTTTTTTGTTTCACAAAGCAAACAAAGCCTTGCATCCAAATAAGGCGTTAGAAACTTAGGCAAGAAGCTTTTCTTATCATAGAAGCATGGAGTTTGTACATGTCCTATGGCTTAAAGTTAACAAATAAACTCCAAGTTTTATGCAATTGGTAGCCTTGATAAGAAAGTGTTACTCAACAAATATTTTTGAGTATTTTTCTTTATAGGAAATCCACAATTGAAGTCCTCCATTGTGTTACTTAAGGGGTTCTGTGTGTACATGTCACATACCTTTTAATACTTACAAACATTCAATCTCTCCACTCCAACATTTCAAAAAAGTTTAAAAAATGAGTTTTATCAATAATTATATATCATTAAGTAGAATTAAATATATTTTTAATCCCTACAAATATTTTTATATTTGATTTTTTATCCTTTAAATTTTTGTATTAAATAATGACTCTCAAACTTTTTTAACACTAATTTTTCACGGTTATGTTATTATTATGGGTGATAAAATGAATGGATTGAATGAATATGAATTGTTAATGGATTGATTAAAACAATCCATTAGTCCATTAACAATTCACTACAATTTTCTTAAAATTATGCAATACAATCCATCCGTTAAGAATAAAATTCATCAAATCCATCCATTAACATATTTTTAATGGATAGATATCCATCTATCCAATTTTTTTTTATTTCGAAAAAACAAATGTATTTTTTTTATTTTATTTTCGAATAATACATTTTTTGTATTTTAAAAAAATTACTTTTTAATATATTCATGAAAAAATTAAATTTTTTGTTTAAAAAAACCATATTTTGTATATTCAAGAAGAAAAAAATTGATATTTTAATTTCCAAAATAAATCGGTTTTTTTGGAGAAAATTCGAATTTTTTGTATTTTCCAAAAAATCGATATGTTAATTTTTTTTAAAAAAATCAGTTTTTTTTTCTTTAAAAAAATCATTTTTGGGGGGGAAGAAAATCTGTTTTTTTTTTCGAAAAAAAAATCGATTTATGTTTTTGAAAAAAATCAATTTTTTATTTTGGAAAAAAATTGTTTTTTTTTCGGAAAAAAATAGTGTTTTTTTTAAAATTCGGTTTTTTGTTGGAAAAAAACAATTATTTTCTTTAAAACAATCCATTTTTAATTATTTTTTTAAAAATAAATTTAACGAAAATAAAAAGAATCCATTAGATCATTAAAATATGTTGAACGGATTGAATCAATCCATTCATATAAATGGATGAATTTAATCCAATCCATTAACTTACTTTTCATGTGGTGGATGGATTTGATGAATTTTTTGATGGATAGATTTGATGAATTTTTCCTTAATGGATTCAATTGTCACCTCTAGTTATTATTGTACTCGTATGATATCAATAGACGTTATTGATATTAATGTATGAAATATTTATACATATGGGACCTATTTATATGAGATGAATACGTGGAGTATGGTATGTGTTGGAGGAGTTTTTCACTTGAGTTTTCAATGGCTCTGATACCATTTGTTGAGTCATGAGTTTTTGGTTTGAGTAAAGGAATCGACTTACTTATATCAAAATGTTTAGGAAGAAGTGTCCCGTTGAAATTGAAATGTCCAAGAAAAAGGTGTATCGAAATGCCCAACAGTATGAATGATCACGACAATGAGAACAATCACCAAGATGGGAGCAAGACTGACAATGAGAGTAAGAAAGATGGTGTATATATTATCCAAAAAACATACATGTTTTATATAGTATAATGTCAACAATAATATTTATAATGCTCATAGAACAACCCTGTTAGATTTTGTTCTAGATCGAAACTATAATTATGTTTGACTTGTGATGATGGATTTCTGATGTGGTATTGTAAGTCTCGAGTGCGATTGAACATGAGGATGAATCTACAAGATTAACACTCCAACATACAAGTCAGTGAATGAGTTCAAAAAGATGGTAGAGTGAAATATGGAAATGGGTGTACCTTAAGTCTAACGCGTACAGATATATTTATCTGGTCATGTAGAATAACAAGGGAAAATATTCATACAAAGAAAGGCAAAAGGGTGATGACAATCCTGAAACAACAAACAAAAAAGTACAATGCTACAATTGTGAGAAGATGAGACACTATGCAGATGAGTGTTGACTATGCTACCCCTCATTGGCACTCATTGTGAGGCATTGGTAAACTAACATAAGCCGCACTCATAATCAACAATCACACTTTGGAGGATAATGTCCTTAAGCTCCAACAACATAAACAAGAGACAAATCCCATAGAGGAGATAATAATCATGGATCGTCAATCTTTCTCTAATGAGAATTGGGCAGCCTCTGTACCGAAAAGCTTCAAGTCGCAATCACTCACAAAGTTTGATGAAAGAAGTAACCCCCTAGGAACACATTGCTTCCATTAATACGTAGATGGAGATCATCAAAGTCTTAGACTCCTTAAAGTGTAAACTCATCTCTATCACATTCAGGGACGTATAGCTAAGGTGTTACATGATCCACTCTAGCCTATCAGGTACTAGCTATCGGGACTTAGTGAAGAAGTTAATCCACCAATTTACGGTAAGTAGACACAGGAATATGTACGTCACTAGTATGTTTAACATTCTCCAGGGGTCTTTAGAATATTTAAGAGAGTATCTCACCCGTTTCAACAATGTGACTATCAAGGTCATTCACCTGAACCAAGAGATGTTTGTATGGGCTTTTCAAAACGGATTCAGGGTCGAACATTCAACGAATCCCTTGCCCAGAAACTATTCGCTTCCATGACATAGATCGTGACGCGCGCCAAATGTTACATTAAGGGTGAGGAGAGTAACATTGAGAAAATGGGTAAAGACGCCAAGGAACGAGGGTCTAGAAATCTTGACGTGTAACTACTACAATGCAAAATCCATTATACCTCGCCTGTTAGAGATAAAACAACTTACAAATGTAGTATAATACTCACTAAGAACTTCACACCCTCTAAACACTCACCATGAATAGATACGACACAAAGTCTTCCATACCCATGATATTCCTCCTTCATTAACTCCTAAGTCAGAAACTATTGGACCAGAGTCAAATAAATGATATAAATATCATAAGGTCAAGGGTTACCACACTAAGGATTATTAGCAATTGGAGAAAGAGATTGAGTGGTTAATTCAAGAAGGTCACCTGAAGAAGTACGTTCGAGACGACTCCCACTAGTCACCAGGCAGCTCCAAACATCAAGAGCAGGACCCCCTGGAAGCCCTGGGTCCAGGAAAGTCGAGGAGCCAAACATAGGAGACAAAGACAAAACAATATGACATACCTTTAAAACTATATTTTGAGGGCTCGTTGGAGGCATAGGAACCTCCTCCACTTGTAGGAGATATGATTGACAGATTATGACAAAGGGAGGTTCGTTCATCATACCTAATTTGGGATTGAAAGAAGCTATGGAGTCCTAGATCACTTTCTTTACTAATGACTCCACCAGAATTCATCCCCATAACAACAATCCCATGTTCATAGCCATACGGTGTGACGACTGGGAAATTAAGTGACTATCAATTGACCATTGGAGTTCTTAAAATATTCTCTACTTGGGCGCCTTCGAGATACTCCACATACACCCATACAATCTTAGAGCTTTCCAAGGTTCAGTAGTTGGATTTTATGGCGAACAAATGCATGTAAAAGGTTACATATCCCTAAAAACTGTTTTTGGGCTGGAGGAAAACACAAATATGATCAAGGTAAGGTACCTTGTGATAAACTCCCCTTACTCACACGATATAATCATAGGGATTTCTCCCTTAAATCTCTTGGGAGTCACCCTGTCAAATTTGTATTTGTGTATACGGTACACGCTCCTCAACAGGCATGTTGGGATTGCACATGTGATCAAAAGACATTCTGAAGGTGCTATTAGGAAACATGAGGTTAAAGAGGGTGACGTTGGTAGTGGCCCACGCTTAGTAGCAAAACATATACAAAGTGAAATTTGTGAATTTAGGGTCAGGTGCATAACCAAGAAAAGGGATAAGATGGCGCCTCTTGGAAACATGCTACTAGTCAAGGAACCCACGTTATAGGAGTTGAAGAGTAAGAGTTAGACACATTGTTCTAAGAAAGTGTAGATTTATAAGGTAAGGATGTCAAGGTGACCTTGGAAGGGTTAGGTAGGTCTAATATCTTACTTTGTTAATTATGTTAGCAATTTTGGTTGAATAAGGCGAGGTTTCATCCTTGTCTATTATATAACTTATTTTAAGGACATGTTTTATTTGTAATAATGAGGTCACGCTCTTTTCTTCTGCTTGGTCAGAGGTTTTTAATGAGGCACCTAAACTTTGTCACCCACGAGGCAATTAAATGTTGTATTCTCAAAGAGGAATCCTTGCCTCTCACGAGGAAATTGGATGTTCGATTCTCAAATGTGAATCCTTGTTACCCACGAGGAAATTGAATGTTGGATCCTCAAATAGGAATCTTTTTCGCTCATAAGACAATTGAATAATGGATTCTCAAAAAGGAATCCTTGTCGTCCAGGAGGCAATTGAATGTTGAATCCTCAATGAGGAATCCTTGTCGCCCACGATGCTATTGAATGTTGGATCTGTTAATATATTTAGAGTGTGCAATCAAGGGGAGAGGTGAATTAGACTTATTGGATTTTTCTGGTTTTTATGCAAGTTACTTTTCTTTTTACTTTTCCAGAAAAAAGTTAAGTGCTGCAACTTGATTAGAATGATGTTATGCAAAAAATGAAAGTGTATAAAAGAAAATAAACACAGAAAATTGTACTAGTTCGCCTTATCAACCAATGGTACATCTAGTCTCCTCACACCCTGTGAGAGATTTCACTATTGCTAGATCTTTGTACAAGTCTCACACAAATACTTCTCCTACAATCTTCTAACAACAACAAAGAATCACACCACTTGATTTTCAATAACAACAACTATGATAGACTTTGAATCAAACAAATTCAAAGAACCTTTTCTCAATAATCACCAACAACACGATGATCATAATAATACATATTTAACATTTGAGTTTGAATTACTTTTGACTTGCTTATATTACAAGATATATGAAATTTTTTGCTCTTCTATTTATCTTTGATCACAATACAAACATATACACTTAAGTGCTCAAAAATAAATATGAATGAAACTTGTTTAAATGATGTGAAAGTTTATGCACAAAGATTCATTTGAAAATATATGAACACTTCACAACTTTGTTTGAATTGGTTTGAAAACTACATTTTGAAAGAGTTTTTTATGAATTGATGAAAAATCATAGCTTAGTTCTTGATGTCAATTGATTGGTACTTTGAAAAAGTTGAAATTTTGTCTAAGTTATGAAAAATATCTGTATGACAATCTATTGGTTCATTCATGTCAATAGATTTTGTTAAATCCAAGTTTGACATTTTTCGAAGTGAGAATCAAATTTTAAATGGTTGAAATGCATGAATGATCTTTGAGCATTTAAGATGTGTATATGAATTGAATTGCATATACCTTTGTTTATGATTCATTATCATAGATATTCAAATTTTGATATAAACTTGAAACTTGAATCATTCTTTTTATTCTTTGATCTTTCTTCTTAAGAAATTATTTTGTCTTCACCAAAACCAAGCTATGATTGATGATGAACATCTTCTTCACAAGATCCTCAAAGAGGATTCCTTGTCACCCACGAGGAGAACAAATTTTTGATTCTCAAAGAGGAATCCTTGCCTCCCACGAGGCAATTAAATGTTGAATTCTCAAAGAGGAATCTTTGTTGCCCACTAGACAATTGAATAATGGATTCTCAAAAAAGAATCCTTTCCGCCCACGAGGCAATTGAATGTTGGATCCTCAATAAATAATCTTTTTGTCCACGAGGCTATTGAATTTTGGATCCTCATAGAGGAGTCCTTGCCACCCATTAGGCAATTGCATGCCAAACCTTCCCTAAAGAAGCATGGTCCCCATAGAGCATAGGGTTTGTCAACTATCATCTACATGTAGGGCTGGAAATGAGTCGAGTCGAGTCGAACTCACCTCAGCTCGGCTCGACTCGTTAAGAATTGTTCGAGTTCGAGTTCTACACGAACTTTTTTTTAAGCTCAAACTCGACTCGTTATAAGTTCACGAACAGTTCGGTTCAACTCGTTAGGTTCATCTCATTAGGTTCAGCTCACATGATTCACGGACTTAAAAACTATTTTTTTAAATATATATATTTTTTAGTATATTTGACATTTTAAATAAATATATTTTTTAAAAATAAAATATTAAAATAAAATAAAAGTTATCATATTGAAATTTAACTTTATCTTCGAAATCTACTAATTCAAAACCTACACAACTTTCAAGAGATACATTTGAGAGTCTAATTCAAAAACTATTAAATTGAAGATTAAATATGTCTAATATTTGGAGTAAATATTTAAACCTAATCTTAAAGACAATATAATTCTTCTCATATGTAATCGAGTTGACTCATAAACCTAATGAGTCGAACTATGTATAATTCAAGTTCAGCTCATTTAGTTAACGAACTTAATTTTTCGCTCATACTCAACTCATTTGGTTCATGAACCTAGTTCAACGATTTAATTGTCGAATCGAATTCCGAACTATTTTCGAGTTGGTTCGGTTCATTGTCAGCCCTATCTACATGTCTTAATGGGTCCTAAAACTACTAGACAATGAAACAATTATATAAACGCAAGAAATCACAAGAACATTTGTATTTTTTTATTAATTAAAACTCTAAAACAAAAAATATTAACATCTAAAAAATGATCTTTTAGCTAATCAATATTAAACAAAATTTTAATACTCAATTATTCCAAGTGGAACGATACTTTTTTATTACTCTAATATATATCGCACGCTTTTGACATATCAACAACTAAGGAAAACATCATAAACTTGTGCGTGTGCGTGTGACAGTTAAACCTATCTCCAGTTGATAGCCAAAAAAATTACCCACAATACGTAGGATAAAAATTTGCAAAATAGGTACAGACAATTGTCCACTAAAATAAGCGGGTACGAGTACCTTAGTATCCACCCCATCCCATATCCGAACAATATATATTCATATATTTTTATTTTTATTATTATGTACACATGTTAATTTATCAACTTTATTAAATACATCACTATTAAACATGTATGCATTTTAATATAAATATTTGTTTATTTCTTAATTTAGCAGTAACATCCTTACATTTTTTTTTATGTTAAAATCTTAAAATGATATGATAAATTATAAATGAAAATTATTTTTATTAGAAATGCGAATAAACGAGTATGAATATGAGTACTTAAATACCTATAAAATACGAGTACGAGCACAGACATTAATGTCCACGCAAAGATGGACTCTAGTACGACTTTTTTTTCAAACAGAAGATACGAGGATAGTTAGTAGGATACTATAACTATGCTCAAATCCTACCAATTGACACTCCTACCATATGTCTAAATCGGACTTTTCTCGTATCTGAGGAGAGGAATTGAAAGAATAACCTCTACTTAAATATATAATCTTTGAATAAATGATTAAGCACTAAATAAATAAATTAATTTTTTGCTTGAACTCAAGAAATTAAATTTTCATTAACATTTAAAAATAGGTTTTTATTGCATTTTTCTATTTTTGTTACAAAGAAATTTTTTGAAAATTTTATTTTATTTGCTGTTTTTAAATATTTCTTAATATAATTTATCAATAATAAATTATTATAAATATAAATTTAATCATAAAAGTAAATTATTAAATTAATAAATGAAAAAAAAATGATGATATGATCGTATAAACAGTCAACTAATGATGATCATGTATCCTGCTAAGTTATATTAAAAATTTAAACTAATTATATTTCTATTAAATGATATTGTGCATAACAATTAAACCCTTAATAAATATCAAAACTTTTTTTTTAAATTTAGAATTTAATTTCTAAAATCTAATTTCTAAAATCAACAAAATAGAAAACCAAAATTACATATTTAAAAATATGAAATCAAAATGAGTAAAAAAAGTGGACCAAAAATGATTCTTTCCCACTCTTATTTATTTATACACTGATCGATGACGTGGAAACAATTGATTGGATGACCCACGTTGCAAAGAGAGAACTCTTATACAAAATCGTGTTCTTCCTCTTCCTTCCGCAGATTCAGACACAAAATCGGTCTCTCACAGATAGAAAGAATGGCAAAGCCCTTATTCATTTCTCTAACTACCTTCCTTTTCATCTTCAATCTCGTCCCTTCTTACGCACTCTACGGTTCTTCCTCCCCGGTTCTTCAGCTCACTCCCGCCAACTTCAATAAAAAGGTTTTTTTTTATCGATCCATTTCGTGATCTCACTCTATTGCTACTATTTGCGATTGAACGTAAAACCGTGAAATTATGCATCTTTGAAGAACAATTCGGCATTTTCTTATTTGATTCTGGATATTTGAATCGTGTTGCGGTGTTTGATGGTTATATTTGAATCTGAAATGCTGCTTGATTTTATTAGTTATGGCTTTTCTAGAAGAATTTGTGTAGATACAATTCGGATTTATGTGAATATATATTTAACAAGTCTGTTAATTCATAAGAAAATATGAATTTTTTTATGAATTAGTAGCTTTTTGTTTGCTTTATCTAGTTTGTAATGTATCAGGTTTTTATGGTGCTGTGTTGTTAATGTCAGGTTTTGAATTCGAATGGAGTTGTTCTTGTTGAATTCTTTGCTCCATGGTGTGGACACTGTAAGGCTCTGACCCCTATATGGGAGAAGGCAGCTACTGTATTAAAAGGCGTTGTTACTGTGGCGGCACTTGATGCTGAAGCTCACCAGGCTCTGGCTCAGGTATTCTGTTCTTAGCTTTTTTTTCATTCATCGGATTTATGTTTAAAATTTTAATGAAATATGTTAAAGGAAGACTATGATGCACATGTTGTTTTGTTCTTGCATTTAGCTTTTCTGAATATGAATTTTGTTACTATATATTTCACTTCTCTAATATGTACACTAGAAATATATTTTATGAACCAATCATGATGCAAAACATGATACTGAACCTGTTTATTTTCATTTATTAGAGCTTATTTACTTGCATTAGTATTTGAGACGCAGCTTGGGAAGCTAAATGAAACAACATATGACATGTTGTAATGTCCATAAGCTCTCTTTTTAGCTTATGAAAACAGTTTGATTTTATTTTTTATTTTTTTTAAGAACTTATTGATAAGCACTTGATTAAGATGATTATCCACGTTGAACCAAATGTACTAGTGGAAAAGTTTTAAATATATGGCATATGATTAATTGGATGCCATCATTTTGATCATTTCAAATAGAAGATTGTTTGAATGTTTTAAGGCATAGCCATGGTCCAACCATGCTAGATATTGCATATCAGTACACGTAAAGATTTTCCTTCTTTCCTTTCTTTCTAAGTCTACCCTTTCTATGTAAAACAACAACAAGCAAGCAAGCCATCCTTATCGGCTACATGGATCAAATTCTGCCATAATGTTTTATCCAAGACCATGTTTCTACCCAATTCGTCTATCTCGAGATCTTTCTTAATAGTTTTTGTACCTCTAGTTGTTTGTTTGTCTTCTCTCCATATGATCTATTCTCCTTACAATAAAATCTACCGGTATTATCTTTACATGCCCAAATCACCTAAGCCTATTTTCGACCATCTTTTCTACTATAGGTGTTACCCTTTCTATGTAAAGCAACCAAAAAATATATTACCTAGGCGAATTAGAATATGTTGCGATTATTTCTCTTCCTGTCTCATACAAGAAATTTGTTATTGTTTGTGTAGTAAAATATTTATTCATGTAGTTCTGGTAACTTTCTTTATTCAATTATGAGTTACTACATGTTAAGACTGTTTTCTTCATTTTTTTAATGGTAACTGTATATTGCAAAATTTGAAAAGAAAAAATAAAACATTTAGATTTTTATGTGTCTCTTCCCAATTCCCTGCAGCAATATGGTATTAAAGGATTTCCAACTATTAAAGTGTTTGCACCTGGAAAACCACCGGTTGATTACCAAGGAGCCAGAGATGTCAAACCAATTGCAGAATTTGCACTTCAACAGGTTTGTTTGAATCTCTTCCGAGTGTTTTCACTTTTTGCCCAAAAGTTTCAATCAAATATTTTTAACATGTATAATGAGTGTTACATTTTAGATTCAGTAGATAGATGTCTTCTTTTTGTGGAAAACAAAACAATTTCTTGTACTTGCATGAAAATTTGAATGACTATAAACAAATGAGAATCTGATCAATTAATTGAAATGGAAAATTCGTTTTACACATCACTTGGTAGTGTTCAAAATTTCATCAGAGTGTGCTTATAGTTCATCTGCATGTACAGGTAAAGGTTCTTTTGAAGGAACGATTAAGTGGAAAAGCAACAGGGGGATCAAATGAGAAAAAGGAAACCAGTGCTTCTTCTTCGGTCGAATTGAACTCTAGTAACTTTGATGAATTGGTTATCAAAAGCAAAGAACTTTGGATTGTAGAATTTTTCGCACCTTGGTGAGCGTTTCCTATATTTCAAGAGTTAAATTTTTGCTCTATTAGCTATTACCTGACTGAACCTGTAATTCTACTTCTGCATTTGCAGCTCTAAATCTTGTTAACATTTTTTTTTCTTTTTTATTTCTCAAAGGTGTGGACATTGTAAAAAATTAGCTCCCGAGTGGAAAAGAGCGTCCAATAATTTGAAAGGGAAGGTTAAACTGGGTCATGTTGATTGTGATGCTGATAAGGTAAGGCTATACACCTCATAGCCGATACATGTTTATATTAGTGTTGTCAATAGTACAAAGTGTTTTCAAATAGCACCAATTGCAGTCTAGCATAGCGGAATTTGAACAAACTTCATCCTTGAATGACAAAGCTGATTAATACTCAAAATTCCATTGGCTTTGGTCAACTTAAATGCAGTATTAATTATTAATTTTTTTAATCTTCCTTTCAATTTATATTATTCTGATAACATGTTTTTTTGGTCAGTCTCTAATGAGCAGGTTCAATGTTCAAGGATTCCCAACAATATTAGTATTTGGAGCCGATAAAGATACTCCAGTTCCTTACGAGGGTGCAAGAACTGCCTCAGCTATCGAATCATTCGCATTAGAACAGCTCGAAACAAATGTTGCCCCTCCAGAAGTGACAGAGCTATATAGTGCAGTAAGTATTTGCTTTCCTGCAAATTTTACTTGATCGTCACTAATTTGAAACGGAGAATATAAAACATAAACCTAAGTATCTGTCTATAGGATGTTTTGGAAGAGAAATGTGGTTCTGCAGCTATCTGTTTTGTTGCCTTCCTTCCCGACATTTTGGATTCCAAGGCTGAGGGGAGGAACAAATACCTTCAACAGTTATTAACCGTTGCAGAGAAGTTCAAAAGGAGTCCTTACAGGCAAGTAAAACTTTAACATCACTGTGACTTTAATCGCCAATGCACACTGGTTTTACACTGATGTCCAATGAGAATTCTGCATTTTGCGGTTGCAAAGTGAACCTACGTTAAAATATCATTTCACTAACAGTACATCTCTAGGAAACTCTTGAATCAATCTTTGTTGACGAATTCTTGAATTTTGTGTCTTGAACAGCTACGTATGGGTGGCCTTACACTAACTGTACATCTGTAGGAAACTCTTGAATCAATCTTTGTTGACAAATTCTTGAATTTTTGTGTCTCGAACAGTTACGTATGGGTGGCCGCCGGTAAGCAGCCAGATCTTGAGCAGAATGTTGGTGTTGGTGGATATGGTTATCCAGCTTTAGTAGCCTTGAACATTAAGAAAGCTGTTTATGCTCCTCTTAAGAGTGCTTTCGAACTTGACCAAATTATGTAAGTCTGTTCTTCCAATGTTATGCTAAATAGTAAACACTTTACTGAAATGAACAAGTTCTTGAATACTATTTATTTATTTTTGGCAGAGAATTTGTGAAAGAAGCTGGACGCGGCGGCAAAGGGAACTTGCCCTTGGGAGGTACTCCTACCATTGTAAAGACAGAACCATGGGATGGAAAAGATGGAGAAATAATTGAAGAGGATGAATTTTCTCTCGAAGAACTCATGGGAGAAGATGCCTCAAGCAAAGATGAGCTATAATGAATCAGAAAGGGAATGATACGAAGTTAGTGTTTGTCATTACCAATTTTATGCTATAGGAAATGATAGTATGTAGAATATTTAAGAGAAATGTGTAACTTATGATGATTGTGATAGCTGTTTTTCGGGTTTTTGTTCATGTTTGGAGTTAAAAACTAGTCTAGTGATGAGTGATCTTTTGAGGAGCATCATATGTCATTTCAGTGGTACAACATATATGAAGAAAATGTTAACTATCACCATGTTTTGATATTTTCTGTCTCATTAATGAACAATTGAGCATTAGTTAACAAAGTACAGCCTTCACGTAGTTCCCTTAAAAAAAGAAATTCACTAACAGAAAATGAAAATTCCTAAATTCCTAATTGCTGCATCAACCATTCTCTTCTACCTTTTTTTCCTTCTCCTTTTATTTCAAATATTCAACAATATATATCATCTTATGCTTCTTACTACTTTGATTTTATAAGTCTTCTTTATTCTTTAGCTGTCACTTCACTTGCGTTCTTCGCTACTACTTTGATTTTATAAGTCTTCTTTATTCTATAGCTGTCACTTCACTTGCATTCTTCGCTCTTATTCACTCAATGTGTTTTTCAAACTTTCTTCTAACTGTGTAAAATATGTTGAACTGCTGACCGCCCTATCAACCTCTTAGCGTGCCATTCCTTGAAAAGATATTTTTGACAAAAAACTTGGTTATAACCTTTGCATATCATTGGGAGTTGTCATTGCCTTAATCCATTTGAAAACATAATCAACACCTACAAAAAAATATATAGATTTCTAAAGGATTGAGAAAAAGACCCCATGAAAACTATACCACATATATCAAAGAGTTCAATTTCTAAAATATTAGGAAGGAACATATCTTGTCTCATATAAATATTTCTCGTCATTTGGCATCTATCACGAGCCTTAACTAAATCATTAGCATCCTTAAATAGAGATGGCCAGAAATAACTTGATTGTAGCACCTAAGTTGTTGATTTAGCACCTTAAATAGAGATGGCCAAAAATAACCTGATTGTAGCACCTAAGTTGTTGTTCTGGTTCCACCAAAGTGACCTCCATAAGGAGCATTATGACAAGTTGTCAGGATCTGTCATGTCTCTGGGTGATCAACACATCTTCTGAGTTATTGATCAACACATTTCTTGTACAGGACTAGTTCATCTAAATAATAGCTCTTGCATGAATGGATAAATCTCTTCCTTTGCTGTGAGTTGAACTCAGGCGGAACATACTCACTCACCAAATAATTCACTATGTCAGCATACCAGGGTGTCATGACAGATGTCATCAGAAATAATTGCTCATCGGGAAATTCCTCCTTTATATCTCTTTCATTCGGGGTCTGGACCTCTTCAGGCAGCCTAGATAAGTGGTCAGCGTCCAAGTTTTCTACCCCCTTCTTGTCTCTAATCTCTAGGTCAAATTCTTGCAACAAAAGTACCCATCTTATCAATCTTGGTTATATATCTTTCTTTGCAATAAGGTACTTGATTGCTGCATGATTTGTGTAAACTATCACTTTGGTGCCCACCAAGTATGATCTAAACTTATCAAATGCAAACACCACTGCCAGCAGTTCCTTTTTTGCGGTTGTGTAGTTGACTTGAGCCTTAATGAGTGTCCTACTTGCATAATAAATTGTATGGAAGACTTTGTTGTGCCTTTTCCCTAGAAAAACTCCAATGGTGAAATCACTAGCATCACTCATGAGTTCAAAGGGTTTAGACCAATTAGAAACTTTCAGTATGGGAGCTGAAATCAAAGCTTCCTTCAATAATCTAAACGTTTTGTCACATTCCTTGCTGAAGACGTATTGCACGCCATGTTGCAACAGCTGACGTAAAGGCTTAGTAATCCTTGAAAAATCCTTAATGAATCTTCTATAAAACCCAGCATGGCCAAGAAAGCATCTAAATACTTTGACGTTAGTAGGAGGAGGTAATTTTTCAATAACTTCAATCTTGGCTTGATCAACCTCCAACCCTTCCTTAGAAGTCTTGTGCCCCAAGACTATTCCTTCCTTAACCATGAAGTGACATTTCTCCCAGTTCAGTACCAAGTTGTTTTTCTCACACCTTTTCAACACCAATTCCAAGTTTTCTAAGCACTTCTTAAATGATTCTCCAAAGACAGAAAAATCGTTCATGAAGACTTCCATGGAATTCTCAATTAAATCTGGAAAAAAAATAGCCACCATGCACCTTTGAAATGTGGGTGGTGCATCATTACATAATTCAAATGACATTCTTATGAAAGCAAAAGTGCTAAAGGGACATGTGAAGGTTGACTTTTCTTGGTCTTCAAGAGCGATGGTAATTTGATTATAGACCAAGTAGCCATCCAAAAAGCAATAAAACTTCTTACCCGCTAATCTATCTAGCATCTGATCAATGAATGGTAGAGGAAAATGATCTTTGCATGTAACTTTGTTCAATTTCCTATAGTCCATACATATCCTTTAGCTAGTGAATGTTCTAGTAGGAATTAATTCATTTTTATCATTTGTGATGATTGTCATGCCTCCCTTCTTTGGAACACATTGGACTGGGTTGACCCAGACGCTTTTAGAAATTGAGCAAATGATGCCAGCGTCTAACCATTTGATAATCTCCTTCTTCACAACTTCCTTCATGGAGGAATGTAATTTCCTTTGGGCTTAATACTATTCATTGCATTCTCTTCCAAAAGGATTTTGTGCATGCACATTGTTGGACTGATCTCTTTAATGTCAGATATCTGCCATGCAAAAGCCTTCTTGTATTTCTTCAGAAGTGCCAGAAGTTGACACCTCTGATCCTCAGTTAAGTCAGAAGATATATTGACCGGTAACTTTTGATCTCCCTCTAGGAAAGAATATTGTAAACTAGATGGAAGTTGTTTCAACTCCAATTCATGAGGGACTTCAATTGATGGTATATTGATTTTTGCATCCTAAGACTCCATTTCCAAAACCTCAAAAGATTTTGTTAACCTTTGCACATCCATAACTTGTTCTTGATCTTTCATAGCCTCAAGATCTTCTATGTTGTGCCTTATCTACCAGAACTTTTTAGCAATTGTTTATGAATAATTGTCTCCTAGTTGGAGATCAATGAGAAATCAGTTATCTCTTCATCTTGATATTTGAGAGCATTTAACACATTAAATACCACTTATTGTCCATTTACTCTCATGGTCAACTCACCCTTTTCCACATCTATTAAGGTTCTGTTTGTTACAAGAAAGGGTATTCCCAAAAGAATGGGAGTATCTCCGTCCGATCAAAGTTCATGATTATAAAGTCAGTTGGAAATACAAACTTGTCAACTTTGACCAACACGTCCTCAATATTTCCTTGAGGGTAGCAATTGCTCCTATCTTTCAATGAAGGGTGATTCTTATTAGCCTAGCTTCTCCGATACCAAGCTTCTTGAAAATAAAGAGTGGCATGAGGTTGATGCTCGCTCCAAGATCGCACAATGCTCTTCCACAAAAATAATCTCCAATGTTTCATGATATATTGAAACTTCCAGGATCTTTTAACTTGTGGGGAAGTTTGCATAATACCAATTGGTTGCATTCTTGTGTTAGGGTCACAACTATGAACTCTCCCACTCTTCATCTTTATGTGAGCACATCTTTCATGAATTTTCAATAGTTGAGAATTTCTTGGATGGCTTTTATAAGTGGTATGTTGATGTGCACCTATTTCAAAATCTCCATAAATTTGCCAAATTGTTATTCCTTTTTTGCCTTCCTAATTCAGTGAGGAAAAGGAGGTGGTGGTCTCTCTTGCACGAACCTAAGCATATGGCTGCTGTCAGTCATATCATAAGACATTCCCACCGGTGTGGATGTCGTGCCACAATTTTTTAGATTGTATTTTGAAGTCAAAGGATCTTTTTGCTTTCTCTCAGTGTTGAGTGTTGGAGTCACCTCATCTCGTTCATTCAACTCTTCTGGAGTACTTGGGGTAGCTAAATCATTCATTGAGTAATATAGACTCTTACCACTTGTTTCAACATCTTTTCTACTTCTTAATTTAATGACCTTGCATGTCTCGACATTCTCGGAACTCGATGCTGCAGCAGGAGTTTCAGTAGTATTTCGAAGTGATCCCAAGGTTCTAGAACTCAAAGCAATATCAATCTTCCCCACTTGATTTTCCAGATTTTTAATGCTAGCTTCTTGTGTTTGAAACTGATTTTTAGTCTCTTGAATAAATGAATTCAAAATTTTTTCCAACTAACTTCCTCCCTGATTAGCCACACCATGACAAGGTGCAGAGAATCTAGGAGGTACTTGAGGTATTTGAGGTTTAGGTTGGGCTGGATTATCTCTCCAAGAAAAGTTAGGATGATTTCTCTATCCAGGATTGTATGTGTTACTATTTGAGTTGTTGAACTTGTTGCCCACATAATTAACTGAGATTGGATTATTAGCACACTCTTCAAACAGATGGGTTCCTCCACAGTAAACACTTGCAACTTCAGAGGCGTCAATTACAACTTTGACTGGCTTATCAATTGTCGCGTCAGGACTTGACATTATATTATTCATCATTTTATAGAATTATGCCACCTGATTTACAAGGGTTATGGTCTCTGAGACCTCATGAATACCAGCAGGCTTCTTTTGTATGGTTCCGGCAACTGCTCTTGTAACTGGACGTTGGTAAGTGTTGGTCGTGATACTCTCGATTAATGACTAACGTTTTTGATAGGATTTTGATAACAATGTTCCACCGGATGAAGCATAAAGCATGTTTCTTGATGATGAAACTAATTTGTTGTAGTATGTGTCTAAATAAATACAGATTGGTATCCCATGACGAGAGCATTGTCGCAATAGTTCCTTGAATATTTCCCAAGCATCATAAAGTGACTCATCTTCCCCTTGTCTAATATATGTTATCTCATTCCTCATCTTGGCATTCTTGACAGGTGGGAAGTATTTAGCCAGAATTTTTCATCTAGGGCATTCAAAGTATCGATGGAGTTTGGCTT